GCTATGGTGTTCTCTCGTGCACAGGGAAAGATCGACGGTGTCCACCTTCCCCCCCCCCTCTGTATTGGCCGTCGATTCGCACTCTCCACCCCCACCCCTGTTGTTCACCTATACAAATGGAGTAATGTTCATATGTGTGTGTGCGTGCACAGAGAGGGGATGGATGGTCGTGGAGGCGAGCTGGATCGGGATCAGAATCGGGAGCACGAACGGGCGCAAATTGGTCACGGCTGGTCTGTTCGATCTCCGTTCCAAACTACCCCACCAGCCCGTTTGGCCACCTTCTATCGTTCTCTCTGTTTCGCCCCCTATCATCTCTTATTCTATATATTTACGGTCCTCCTCTTTTCCGCCCATGGTACGCGTCTGTCCTTCTCGGCTACATACCCCCAGTGTCTATCGATCTATCTTCCTCTAACGTCACCCCCCTCTAACCACCCTTGCTTGCTCGCTCTCCACCTTCCTTTAGCTAGTCTATCCCTATATGTATATACCTATCGCTAGCTAGCTTGCTACTCGACTCGTGTGCAACCGTTTCAGAACTATTAGGAACGCCCGCCTAAACCCACATCACTTTACCCCCAGGTAGGCTAATCCGGCGGTGTGCTCACCTGCAACCCCCCTGCGGCTAGGTTCCTCGATGGTTCCCCTTATCACGACTGGTTCGTTGATTTTTCTTTCGCCTCTGATGGCAATCAGGTTCGATGATCGTACACACCAGGCTTGACAATTTTAACTAGGGAAGTGGATTAGAGAAGACAATATCGTGTTTTGCAACCCTCTTGTTTATTCGTACCACGTAAGAAACAACCTTTTTGACATGGATGGGGGATGATGTATAGTTCAAAAGGAGCAACTGCACGCGAGCTAGCGTAGCGCATGGTAGAGACCGCCGGGGGAGGCGCGCGGTCACATTGTCGAGTGTAAATTTTTAATTAAGCTTCGGTGGCTGGACTGCAAATTGAGCTGCGCCCGGCCGCCCATCCACCCACGCCGGCATTCAATGCAGTAAATGCACCGTGCACGCCGTACGTGTCATTTACGAATTAAATTAATTTGTTAGTTCTTATGCGGTGGCCGGCTGGCAGAGCGAAATAAATTTACGATAATGCTCATTAGCCCCGGCCACCGGTCTGCACACACGCGGAAATTAGTCGTGGATGCACACATATACACGTATATAGAGAGAATTGCCAGCCGGGAAATCATGGCAGCGAGAGGAGCGACGCGATTACGCCCGCCGCCGGAACATCTGTATACGAAAGTAAAACGCACCCGACCGACCAGGCACGGATTATAAATATTTGATCTGCTTCATTATGTTATCGATTCGCGCGCGGTCGAGCTGCACACACGGCGCCTATTATTACAGCTTATTAACGGGGGTGGTGGATCGAGTTGGGAGGTGAAATGTAGGAACACATTAAGGGGTACAGTAAATTCTCGATGAGTACTCGAAGGCTCCTTGGCGTTGAACATTCAATATTTCGTAAAGTAATGGCCATATGCGGCTGAAATATTATCGGCTTTAGAATTCCAAGCTGTATCACTTTGCTAAACCTCGTTAAAAAGTCAGCGTTACACCTAGGAATCTTTTCTTGTCAGTGCCGAGGAACATTCGAACACTCATCTTCAACAGATGTGTCGCTATCGTCCCTACTAGAATGAAGCCAAAACATTTTTCTTTTTAATTTTATAGCTCGAAAAGGACGAAAAAAATTGCAAAAATCAATGTTTATTTTTCAAATTGCAGCTATTTTAAAAGGTTTTAATATTGTGTTTGGCCGCTGGACGTATTTCCAGAGAAACAACAGTCCCGCAAATTAAGCAAGTCGTCCTCTCTCCCCCTCCAATAAAAGAACAACTCGACGTAACGTCCACTGTCGTCGTTTCACGATTACGTGACACTGACCGGCGACATTCAGATCGAAGATTTCCGGGTAAACTTACGTAATTTTCGAAGACAGATCCTGTCCGCCCGATCGTTAATTGGATCCCGTTTTCCTACCGGGTAGTAGGCGTTTGCGTAACCGTTTTCAAACGGCGCGTCGACACGGCCGGAACCTATTAATACGTCCGGAACGCACCGATCGTGTCACGGTTGATCGGCCATTGAACGATCGGGACCGACAGACAGGTTGGGGGCCGACCGTAATATAGAGGGATGGGCGGAGAGCCGCTGAGTATCTCTTCAATTTCGTGGAAAGAATCGATCATCGCTCGCTCTGGGGCCTCACCGCCCCTCCCCCCTTCCCACGTGGTGTAGAACTCGCGTTTGGCGTCAATCTAGCCGAGCGATTGGCTTTGAGCTAACTCGATGATGATCGGGAGGGTAGTCTCTGCTACGAAGATGAACAAACACCCGAACCCCCTGGGAGAGAAACTGAAAGGGAGAGGCTAAAAATGAAAAAGAAGAGGAGAAAAAATGGCAGCGCCAGTGAACAGAGAAAGATGATGACATAGGTAGAGAGATAGAGGTAGAAACGGGGGGGTTAGAGAGAGAGAGAGTAGGGAGAGGGAGGGACTCGGTATTGCAGGCTCATCCGCCGGTTACGTTCGATTGGCTGGCAGGGCGGTAGGCCAGCAATTACCTAAATGGTCGGGTAAACAATATCCGCGCGCCGAGTTAAGAGCGGCGGCGGCGGGTAGCAGCAACAGCACCAGCGCACCACCAGCAACGGGTAGCACCAGACCAGGGATCCGTGCATTTGGTCGGCTGGCCAGCCGTGGTAGTATTGGTCTTGGGTTAAGCTCGCCTCCAACCAAAGAGACCGTGCACACGACGGTGGTGGTGATGGTGGAGGAAAGGCGAGGAGCGAGAAAGAGATTTCTGGTCGGATGAAGGAGTCGGAGAGATAGCTAGCTAGGCTACCACCATAGCATCAAGCCACGATTATACTCCAAGCACGATTACTGTACACAACGATCCTAGATGCCTAGCAGACTTCCCCCTCTGGCCCGTACCCGGCGCATCCGAGATCATCGACAAACCCCCGGCGGCGTTTCACGATCGCGAATACCCCAGGAACGGAGTGAGGCGTGCGACTTCCTCCACAGCACACACACACACACACATACGCGCGCGCGCATGTACACGGGAAACCGTTGAACGACGGCAACGTGCGTGGAGGGAAAAGCGTTCCTCCATCGACAGCCACGGTGGTAGCGGTGGCGGCGGTGGTGGTGGTTAAATCAAAGACAAACCACTTTAGCCGGTCGGATCGCGGAACGATGGAAGAGTGGGGTGAGAGTGGGCCGGTTAGAGAGTCGTCGGAGGGGCGGGGGGCAGGAGGAAAAGGTAGACTTTGTGTGTACATACCCGAGTATCTGGCGAAAGCTCGCGATCGTGACGGGGGGGAGGGCCGCGAAACGTCTGCACGGGAGGTTTCGTGTTCGTGTCCTGCGTCCATTCACATTCAGTTCACTCTGTCTGGGTGCATCTTCGTGATCGTATGTACGGCTGGAGGATACGCGCACGCGGGCGCACCAGAGCACCAACACACCAAACGCCCGGGAAGAGACTCGGACCGCCAGCCACGTACATCGAGGTGGAGGGGAGATGTTAGCAGCACGTGTGTGCGCGCAAGCCCCCCCAGCCCCGAAACGCAGACGGTGCACGCCCACCGGACCACGGCGGCGCTTTCTGGTAAGCGATCGGGGATTGGACCACGCCCACACGGGGCGTGACCCGTCCCCTACCCCAAACGAGCCTGGCTGCTTGGTTTTCCGCCGCGCGACTACGCTCGTACGACGGCTCCTCCGGTACTAATAATACGCCGATATACACCACCTATTCAGCCACCATGGCTCTACGTGGAGGTCCCGAGAGCAGCTTTCACGGGACGCGCGCCGCCGCCGCCGCGTCTGTCTACCAAAGACACTGCTAATCGCGCGACCACGCTGGTCTCTGTCTTTCTCTCTCTCTCTCTCTCTCTTCTTGACCCGGTGAAAACGTCTGACTGTTTGTCGGGCCCCAGTGTATCCTGGCCGGTTCAGTGCACCAACCCCCCTCGGCAGAGGCTTTATCATCAGTTCGTCGTGACGTACCACAATCTCGAGAACCGTGCGGACCCCGTCGGTGGATCGTGGTGACGAGAAGTCTCGATCGGGAACGGTTTTGGTGATTCACGATTCAGTGACGATCGGAATGTAAAGTGTGTCAGTGATGTCCCCCGTACGGATGTTTCTTATTGACGGTCTCTTCTGAGCATCCCTCCCTGTGTGCACCGAGAAACGAGATACAGTGCTCCGCAGGCTCGACGAGGGAATGAAGCGTCGTGGGGTCAGGTAAAGGATCAGGACATCCCGGTGGTGTTATGTGGAGGATGCAGGAGAGCAGGACCACCGTGTCGCCGCTAGGACCAGTCCTATTGCCGCGCGAAGACGCGGATATGCGTGCCGGTCTGTCATTGCCGCCTCAAGAAAGGAGGCACGTGTTGCTCCACGTACGGACCGGCGATCCTTTTGTACGGTACGAGACTGTGCGACAGCAGCAACACTCGCCTCAGCCGTCGAGCTCGCCGATCTTGTGCTCGGTCGAGAAGGATCAGTTCCGCGAGATGGACGGTCACGGCCCGATCAGAGAGAAGAGGATCGACACGGAGATGGAGGAGGATGGGGAGGACGAACAGGACGAGGAGGAAGAGGACGACGGTGAACACGAGCGGAACGTTACGCCTAGAAGAAATCTGGAGGACGAAGAAGATGAGGAGGAGCAGGAGGAGGAGGAGGAGGATCATCCTGGAAGTCGCGACGGGAATTACCAGGACGATGAAGACGTGGAGGTTGATGTCTGTCGCGACGAAGTCGACGAGAGCAATCCCAGCAGCCCAGTGGATCTCACTGCTCCTTCGTCCAGAGGCGCTGGGTCTGAACAGTTCCTCAATCCTTTCGCGAACCGCGGTGTGCACCCTTTCTCCTGTGTTCAGAGCGGTGGCCAAACGACTGGCCACGGGACTCCTGTGTATATATCCGCGCACGCCGCCGCTGCATCGAATGTAATGACCGTTTGCACTTCCGGTAACACTGCACGCACCACCGGGACCGGGACCAGCACCATCACCACCACGTCAAGTACCGTGCAGGGCAAGAAGAGGTGTCTGGCGTTCTCCGTGGAGAATATCCTCGACCCGAACAAGTTCACCGGCGGACGGGTCGTGCACAATCCTATACAGCATCGGCGGCATCGGCGGGCCGATAGCGTGCATGAAGGTGAATTCAGATGTAGAGTAAATCATCGATGAGTACTCGATTCCTTCTCGGCACTGACGAGGAGAGGTTACCAGGTGTAACGGTGACTTTTTAATGAGGTTTATCGCCAGTGACAGAGCTTGGAATTTTGAAGTCAATGATATTTATTCTAATCGCATTAGGCCATATTTAATGTTCGGTGCCGAAAAGCCTTCGAGCACTCAACGATGTTTTACTGTATATTGATTAATATGTTTTGTACAATTGGGTGTTTGAGTATCGGTACGGTATTACGGGCGAAAAATCGTTCCTTTTGGATATGTTTACTGGAAGGTGGTTTACTATTTTCTTTGGATTTATGTAACTGTTCTTTAACGTTGTAAAAATTATCGTGGATAGTTTTCTTATCAAGGCGGCGTTCGGAGCCGGCGGCAGGTGACAATGATCTAAATATCAATGAGTAGGTACTATCGTCCGTTGTAACGAAAGGGTTGATGTATTGCAAGAAACAATTAGTTGGTCTGCCACTGTTATTGGAGGAAGTTGCTTGATATTTTGCAGGACGAAGGTTCGATGAATAGTTTTGGTAGCTGAACGGGTATCAGTAGAATAGGTGGTCTGATCAAAATATTCCCTACCACGCGTAATACTTTGTTTACTGCTTAACTCTTAGAGACTTGGATAGACAGCACTTGCCAAATGATGAAAAAGAGTCCTGATAAACATAGGTCGAAGGATTAATATTTTCAAAGTTATAAACAATTTTCTGTATCGCTTAAAGCAAGTGACTTAGAGTGGATTGCCTTATCAGTTCTTCTTTTCCTATTTACAGAAGGTTTTCTACAACCTCTATTAGTTTTTTTACAATTATCTTCATTGTTTCTGTATGATACTACACTTTCCTTAACCGAAATAAAAACTTATTTATAACTCCGAAAATATTACTCCTTCGAACCATGTTTACTACGACTTTTTCACATCATTTGACGAGTACTATCTTCCCGAAAAAATATGAACTCTTTTTCATTTCACTGTGTATATAACGTATTAAGAAAACCACTAGTATTTAACCTCTATTTTCCTCAAAAGAAAACCATCTATAATATATCAAGTACAGTAAATAGATCGCTAGGCTTGAACGTTCGCAGATCACGAATCTGCGATACAAATCCGTCGACAATCGCCTCTAATAGCTTCCGTCCATCTGATCCAACATCTGCAAAGAACACTCGGTTAATCTGCCAATTCACCGGCCTGTCAGTAGTCGGAACAGTCCATTCCGCTAGGAGGATCGTAATCGTGAACCATTTAATCGCAGCACGTCGATTAATCCCCACGAATATTTCGCCGTCGCGGGACCAAAGTCCCTTAATCCTTGAGTGTCTTGCACTTGCCAAAACCCCCCTGGGCTCGTATCTTTATTGCTTCCTGCTTACTACGCGCACCGTCTTCCGACGTCGTAACCGCTCGCCAAAACACGGACCCGGTGCCTTTTTCTTCAGGAACATATGGGCCTGGTCGTCCCCCGGGGACCCCGTGATCTTGAACGATATTTTTTCGCGCTCCTACTTCCCCCTTCGAACCCGACGGTCTCCCTTTCTCTCGGTTCTTCCTCGTTCTAACTTTAGACGACGGTTAAGGACGGCCTCTTTCCACAAGCGTTTCGAAGTTATTTGCGTGTTAGGGGATTCCTACAAAAGCGATGATGTAGACGCCGTTACTCGGAACACAGATGGGGGAGGGTGAGAGAGGGCCCCAGCGTGAGTCTCCGCTTTTGCGCGCGTTCTCTCCCGAGGGCCACTCGCGATGGTCTCTGATCCGTTTAAACGAACCCGTGGAACTGTCCAATTAACGAGTTCTCGCGACGTATTTTGCTCCTGAAACGTCCACGGTATCTTTATTCTGACAAACAAAATCGTTCTGGCCCGCCTATGTCTTTGGGACTCATCGATAACTGAGAAATATCGAGGATTCTTAGTCAGAGATTTGAGGCTTCACCCGGCATCATATTATTTTGGGGCTTTCGGGTGTAAGCCGAGGCCTGGTGGAATTATTTTCTCAATATTTGCAAACTTGGTAGCTTCGTCACGGGGTCTAATGACACATCGAACTGGTTTGTGCCTTGTGATGCTCCAATATACTGGAGTCATTGCTCACCAATTAACAGACAATTTTACTAGGTTAGCTGAACAATTAAAAATATGGAGGGAGCTCTAGATTAAGTTCAGACTTAATTCCATTATATCCAACGATTCCCGGTATTTCCTGGGAAAGTAGCCCTTATTTTTTCCTATAACTTCAGCTTCGTTGTCAAATACTTTGTCTCCCCATTGTCTTCCGATGTTCCGCGACAGCTGATCGAATATAAGCCGGTCTAGTGCATCGAGGATTGCGCTTTCATTAAATTCTTCCTCGGCATCCGGAAATCCGTCCGTCCCCGGCAGAAAATCTTATCCACCTATACGATCGAACCTTGCCAGTCGATCCTCCTACGCGTATCCAATTTCACAGCTGACTTTCGAATTTAATGGAGTCCAGATAAGAGGAATCTCGACGGTCCGCCGATAAGGTGCGCCTCGGAGCCCCGTCGAGGTAGAAGAAGAAGAAGCGTCACGCGAAGGGGGTGAAACAGCGTAGAAACAGAACGAAGGAGCCGCCACCGTCGTTGATGGTGGAGAGGGTAGGTGGGACGGTTCCGCGATGGTGGCCTGTCGGAGCGTGACAAATTGCTCCGCTAATCTGCGTTAACCAGTCCTTGAACCCCATCATTATCGTCCCTTTATCCCGGTACGGGACACTGGCTTGCAAACGAAATCAACCGACTGTCGTTCGGTTGCTTGCGTTGGGAAGAGCCTAGAGAAAAAAAAAAAAACACACGCACACACGGTATCTCGTATCTGGAGACCAAGCTCGAGAGGTCGTGGAAATCTTCGAACGGACGTAGTGGTATCGGGGATTACACGATTCCCTGGCCATCCATCTTCCAGGGGGTCTCTCCACCCCCTCTCCACCCACCCATTAAAAGTGCATCAACGGCAGGCCGATCGACGAGATCCGTTTCAACTGCTGGCAACGGATTCAGCCCCTACGTGGTTCCAGCCATCCCATTCCTCCCCTTCCCTCACTCACAGCAAATCCGCCGACGGAATAATATCGTCGGTTGTTATGATAATCGCGCAGCATCGCGGCGTATCGCGTCGCATCGCGCCAAGCCGCCCAGAAAATTGGCTCTTCTGCATCATAATGACTTCTCTCTCTCTCTCTCTCTCTCTCTCTCTCTCTCTCTCTCTCTCTCTCCCTCCCTCTCCCTTCACGTCGCGCCTCGATCCACCCCCCAACAGCCAGCGCTCGGTCGCGCCAACCCCCCTCGCTTTCGGAGAAACTCGCACTCGTCCCCCTCCCCCTTACTCGCTCTGCGAGTCCTCGGTTCATGATTCGAAAGCTACCAGGATTTTCCGCTAGATTTCTGGAAAAATTGTAATTATCCCTCTGGAGGCCGCACGAGGTAACGTTAAACGTTGAATCTTCTGATTCTGGTGTTTTTCCTAGTTGAGATTCAGAGATTGGTATCATTTATAGATTGGGATTGGATGATTCTGTACTTGTTATGTTTCTGGAAGAGACGTTCGTGAACTTGGTTCTTGAAGTAATATAATAATTGTCATTCAAGTGCTTTGAGATTACTGGTTAAGAGTTTGGTTGGGTGGTTTTGAGATGGCTAAAAGTTTGAATCTATCTTGGGCGCCTATTTTATCGTGTCAGTGATAATGTTTGGAACGTTTTTTCATGATATCCAAGCATTAAAAACACGGTGTTACTGTGACTCCTGGCTTGGTATTTATCGTGAGCAAACACATCGTTTATCGTACAAGATAGCAGAAAGATGCAGTCAATGGCTTGAGAGGTTAAGGAGCCCTGGAATTTGTTTTCTAAATAAAAGTTCAAAGTTCCCGAGAAATTCCCGAAAACATTCCAAAACAACTATCACTGCAACCTTGTCCTGACAATGTAACGAAAATCTAATCGCTGTCGCGACCCTCCGCTAACTCCCTAAACGTTCAACGGGAAATTTCTCTACTACACCAGATGGTTCTACGTCACAGAAAATCCGATCGTTCGAATAGACCGCAGAGAACCGAATTTAATGACGATCAGGGGATATTCCGTTGATCAGCGACAATTTACAAAGTATATTTGTAAACCAAATTTCTATCCCCTATTGGATCAATCACGATCCTCATGATTTCCCAGGTCTGCACGCCTCTTCATCGTTCACCGTCGTGCACTCATTTCTCTCAATTCCGGCAGTCTCGTTCGTCCCTCTATTAACGTTTCTAGGCCCTCGATCCAAAACACTTCGCATCCGTCTGTTTACCAAATCGATCCACCGAATCGCCGTCAAACGTTCCGTGTCATTGTGCTTAATGAGGAAAACCGAAAGAACTATTCCTGACTGTGTGACGCTCCCCCGCGTCACGACCGGTTCCCCTGTGCACCCTTAACATGGGCCCCAAGGGAGACGGTCTCCTAGCCCCCTCCGATCGTTTCTCTCGCGCTGAAACCCGCGTCCGATCGTGCTTAATGAAGAAGATCTAACCGAGATAAATGCTCCAGGCATGCTCCTAACGCTATAAAACCTCGATAAACGCGATAAGAGGTTGTTCGTTATGGACGGCGTAGCTGGGCTTAATTGAGCGAAACGTTTGTCGACCATGTGTCGCTATCCACCGATCCAACCATCCTACGACTCCCTTGACCACCGAGAACAAACCTGCCAGGCCTTCGAACGACTAAAAAATTCACGGATTCACCCCGTATAATCAGAGTCCGTAGGTATCAACGACACCGTTGAAAACCGACCACTGGACCATGCGAGAAGGGTCGCGGAAAACCGAGGAACAATATAAATTACGCAATTCAATTAGAAGCAATCAATCGGAACGCAGAGGTGCACACCGTGTGTGTATGCGTTCAGGGGTTTGTGTGAGGTCGCCTGGCTGTTGGCGGAAGCGTTGGTTCGAGGGAAAAGGAAGCGAAGGAAGAAGAAGAAGAAGAAGAAGAAGTGGGGGAGGCAGGCAGGCAGCCAGCCGGTCGGCGGCCTGTACGACGGGGCAAGAACGATCGCGCGTTAACGAGATACAAATCCCATTACGGCGTAAACCTTCTCGATCCGTGGCCCCCCTACGGGCTTCCAAGCCCGGTGCTAGGCTACGGGCTATGGGCCACGAGCCACGGCAATTGGGATAAAGTCCCACCGAGTCTCTCTATCTGTCTCTTTCTCTGTCGTCTGCTTGTCTTTTCCCTTCGTTCTCCCATATCTTCCTCTGCTTCTACACCCCTCGATCCCGATATCCCATGCTCTACCCTCTCTCTCTCTCTCTCTCTGTCTCTTTCAATCTCGCCCACCCATTCGACCCCCCCTCGATAACCTGTCCTTTTCTGTCGCTGGTTTTATCCATCCGGCAACCTATCCCCACCCTACAGACCTCCCAGGGGCGCCCCCAACCTCCACGGACCAGAGCCAGGGAATATCTGTCCCCGGGACATCTGCGTGCTGATTGAATCTCCAATCTCCTCTCTCATTGAGCGAACGATTGGCCGCTCTTTCTCTAGCTCTGTCCCTCTCTCTCTCTCTCTATCTCTGCCCCTATCTCTCTCTCGAGCTCGTATCGCCAGCCAGCCAACGCGTACCTCTTGTCCAGGTCGCCGCGTTTGAATCGGTTCGCTGGCCCCCGCGGTCGGCCGATCAGACGCAGTCTTCGGCTTCCTTTTTCGTTGGTTGTCCTCTGGAGGTATTAAATGATATGGGATCCAAATGATAAGCTACTTATTTTTGAACAGGTCGCCTATGCGCGTAATAGTTCACTGTTTATGGCACTGCTACTACCACTTACTAGTCTTTGTTCATTTTCGAGGGTTTATTATTTGTCTAAGACTAGTACAAGAGGTATGACGCGTGGAAAACTTTTGCACTAACCGTACCGAGACTTTTGTATACCTATTTGTACCGTATTTAAAACCAGTCGTTTGACTGACGGTTAGTGTTAAAAATAAAATCGTGAGTGATAATCGATAAGATTAATTAGATGGTAAGGTACTAATCCATAAATTATAGCAACGAAAGGGTTATTGTCCATAAATGTCCATGACTCCTGTGTTCCCGACAAATAAAACTGACAAAAGGAGTCCGTGGACATTTTATCTTGACATTATTTTTCAGTATAGTCCCCTTTAAAATCTTCACATTTGGTCCATCGATGTAGTAATGCAATGATCCAGGTCTAATAGGCAGCGAAGTTTTCAATTCACCCTCTTACGTGAATCGAGAATAATAAACATTGCCGTGTTTTCTATCATTTATCCGAGGCACCTAAATCTTCTAAGTAGATTTACTATACTGATCAGACCCCTTCAACAGACCTAGAACGAAACACTTCATCTTCTATGGATTTAATTCAAACTCTGAATCTCTTCGCGAACCGGTTCTGCAAGTAGATTCACCCCCAGCACTTATCAGACCATTAGCAGTTCCACAACTACTAATAAATAATATTTTCTATCACTTATCCAAGGGACCTAAATCGTCTAAGTAGATTTACTATACTGATCAGACCCCTTCAACAGACCTAGAACGAAACACTTCATCTTCTATGGATTTAATTCAAACTCTGAATCTCTTCGCGAACCGGTTCTGCAAGTAGATTCACCCCCAGCACTAATCAGACCATTAGCAGTTCCACAACTACTACTAAATCATATTTTCTATCACTTATCCAAGGGACCTAAATCTTCTAAGTAGATTTACTATGCTGCTCAGACCCCTACAACAGACCTAAAACGAAACATTTGATTTCTATGGATTTAATTCAATCTTTGAATCTCTTCGCGAACCGGTTCTGCAAGTAGATTCACCCCCAGCACTAATCAGACCATTAGCAGTTCCACAACGACAGGCCTCACGCCGTTCATACTCCCGACCGACCATGAAAGACTTTTACAACGCGTCGTAGGACCGCAAACGGTTCGTTCCACTCCTCCCCCATGTCGCGTCTTCGTGAAACAGGGTGTGAAACATCGGTCCGGTTTCGCGTTACCGCTCCGTCATAAGTAAACCGACACCACCCGCGCAATTTTATCCCCGGGTATAATCAATTTTCGTCACACAACACCGCTATCGCTTTCCTTCTCCACCCCCTGTTGGATCTTTCCGCAACGAGACGCTGATCCTCCTCTCGTTATTGCTTTCAGATGGGGACTCGCGGGGCGAGTTCGCCTGCGGCAGCGGCCAGGAGGACGAGGAGGGTACACCGGACACGGGGATGGAGGACATGGACGAGGACCAGGATGAAGAAGAAGAAGACGAGGACGTCGAGATGAGGGTGACCGATCAAGAATCAACAAATGCTGATCGTGAGACTGGCACGTCTAGCGGTCCAGTTCAATCATCCAACTGCAAGAAACGACAGTCCTCGTCGTCCTCATCCTCATCCGGCAGTGTCCAGGCTCAGGGTTGCCAGAGCCAGAACCAATCTAGCCAAAACGGTACCAGTGGCAGCGGCGGTAGCACAGGTGGAAAGCCAAGAAGAGCAAGGACAGCGTTCACGTACGAGCAACTGGTCGCTCTAGAGAACAAGTTCAAAACCACTCGATACTTGTCCGTCTGCGAGCGTCTGAACCTAGCCCTGTCCCTCTCGTTAACCGAGACCCAGGTGAAGATCTGGTTTCAGAATCGTCGAACCAAATGGAAGAAGCAGAATCCAGGCCTAGACGTGAACAGTCCAACTGTGCCAACCACTCCACCCCATCCACCGCCTTACGCGCCAGCGTTCCTGTTCGCCACCCACCCCCACCAACACCCTCTCCCACACACGCACGCCCATCCACATCCTCATGCCCACGTCCATCATCCGTCTCCCGTGCCGCCGCCACCTGGCTATTATCACCCAGCGGCGCCACCTTATCCGCCAACCGGTCCGACGTTCTTCGGTCATCATCTGACCGGCACACCTGTGACCGCCGCCGGACCGCCGCCCACCACGACGCCCACCTCGACCGGGCTGGCGTTATCGACGCATCCTCACACGCACACGCATCCGCACGCGTAGCGAACTCGACGCTCGCGGATGTCGTCCTTGCCCTCGTAGTCGTCGACACATCGACTTACCTGGATCGAACGATGAAGCATGGAACTCTGAAAGAACGTGTCGTTTTTGTGGATGATGTTTCTCGGTGTTCATCCGCCGGTTCAGGATCACACGGTGTTGCTAATCTCGTGGAACGTGACGAACTTTCCGCAGGGTCAGTTGGACAGTTGGTGTGCCGAATGAAGATAGGTGTCCGCTATCTGCACTCCATCGATTTCGTTTTGTGAAGTATGAGTGAAGGAGGTATCCATTTTCTTAGTTTTTCTATTACGGTTTATGGTTCTCGTTGCGATGTACATTGAGCGGGCTTCGAGATTGTTCTGTTTTTTTTTTTTTTTTTTTTTTTTTTTTTTTTTTTTTTTTTTTTTTTTTTTTTTTTTTTTTTTTTTTTTTTTTTTTTTTTTTTTTTTTTTTTTTTTTTTTTTTTTTTTTTTTCGTATTGTGCAATAATTTCGCGAGGTTATGTGGTCGGTATGCGTGGATGGTTGGGCGGATCTGATTGGTGATGATGTGGGTTGCTTTTGTTGGTTCTTCGAATATGATGATCGAGGGCTGTAGCGATCGATAGAGTGCGTAGGGAGGAACGTTGCAGAGTGGTGTCTATGTTAATTTTGAATGGAACTTGTGGTTTTCACGAAGAAAATTCGATTTTTCCATCTCGCGAATATTTTACGTTTAATCCTCTGACATATCCTAGCTATTCAACCCCCTGTTTGGGGTGATTCTCTCGCTAGAGGCTTTTTGTTTATCTTTTAATTTAATAATCTTCTATTTTCAATGATAGATAATTAGAATGAAAATGAAGAATTGGTAAATATTTACAAAATGGTTCAACGAAAATATCACGAAAGTGGAAACACATGACACGCGGCGTTTCTCGTGACAACCATAGAAATATCCCAAGTGTTTCCTTCAAATTTTCTCGGACAGCTCTGCGAATGTCTCCACTGATTGTAAATAACAATTGAAAGTATTCATCAATCTCCACGGCCATACAGTTCCGCCGAAAACAGTGAATTCACCCTCCCCAGTTTCGCGACGATGATCGAATCAAGCGCAACTACAGTAATGGTTCGATGAGTGCGACGAACTCGAATCCGCTTCGGAGAATTCGTGGCAAGGCGGAAAAGTTTTCAGCCCCTCATAAATTAGTTTCCAGCACGAAACTGAGCCTCTGCTTAGCTTCTCTTTACTCTGTTCCGTCGTTCGTGTCGCATTCATCGAGGAATCACTGTATCGCGAGTATCTCATCGCCATTAACCGATTCCGCGATCAGGATCGTCGAACAACAGGACGAATGATCGCCCAGTCCACCGTACGAACATTATCGCGCGATTTACAGAAGAGTGTCGGGGCCGATTGTTCCAGTCGCATCGGTTCGCGTCGATCGTCCCGCACGTGGGTCGCCTCGATAGGGTAATCGGTTTACGTGGTAAAGTAGGGGTGTGGGGGAGGGTTCGACGTGCAGAAAACGAGCGTGTCCTTTGGAGGATATTGTCGGGGCGTTTAAATTCCAGCCTGTGTTTGGCGGGAGAGGGTTTGGGTGGCTGAATAACTGGGGAATCTATCGTCCGAGCGGAAAGATAAATACGCGGTGATACGTGAACGAAGAATAACAAGCGCGCTCGATTGCAGAGGGGGTGGTTTGGGGGAGGTGGGGAGACGCGTAAAACCCCGGGACGGGATATAATTAAAAAATTAAACGAACGAAGTAACCGTATATAAAACCGTTGGGAACACCGCGTTACACCCGTTATTCTCGCGTTTCAATCCAATATCCAGGCGATGATGTTTGAACGGGCCCGCAATGACGAGTAACGAAATGCGCGTGCAACGAAAAAAAAATAACATACGCACGGTTGAAAAAGCGTGTGTTGGTATGTGTGTGTGTGTGTGTAAGAGAGAGAAAGAGAGAGTGAAGTGATGTATCAGTGTGGAAAGCTCTGTACTTCCATCAGAGCGGACAGGGAGTTAACTTCCGAACAGTTTTTCGTCGCCATTGTAACATATTCCGTTTGATCGTTTGCGAAAGAGTATATCGTTGCGAAACGAAGTAGATTTTATTCGGGGGGTTGGATGCTCGATAGGCTCTAAGGCGTGATGAAAATTAACGTGTATCAGGGAGAAGGAGGTGAGAAATACAGTAAATGAGGAATGAGTGCTCGAAGACTCCTCGGCACTGAACATTAAATATTTCACAAACCACTGGCCCTATGCGGCTGAAACATATATCGTTGACTTCGGGATTCCAAGCTCTATCACTGGTTCGAAACCTCATTAAGGGGTTACATACCTTCGAACTGTTAAATAGGAGGGAATATTAAAACATTTTTTTATATATGCAGAATTATTGTTTATTAAATATTCAAGGTATACATCTTATTACATGTTATTTCCTTAGTGGTTTCTGAAAAATTGAGCTATATATCAACAGAAGGAAATAGATATATCTCTGTGGGCTTTGACCTGAAACAAGTTTTTAAAATTTTATATTAAAGTAGACAAAAGGAACTAGTACCTTTCCGAGCCGATTTTGAAAATATTAATATTTTACAAAATGACGGCTGTTTTTTTTTAAGTTTCCCTTCTATTTAATAGTTCAAAGGTAACCCCTTAAAAAATCAGCGTTGCACCTGAGGACCTATCTTTGTCGATGCCGAAGAGCCTTCGAACACACATCGATAGACTGTGTGTGTCCGTGTTAGACGAGAGAAAGCGAGCGAATGGACGAGCGCGAGAGAGGATTTAGCCAGCAAATTTGTTGTGCTGAACGCAAAACTGAACCACGTCGGGACGCGATGGTACGTTCCTGTGTAAAATAAATACCGTACGTTACACCTCGTAAGCCTTTTTGCCCGGTGAATACACGCTGATAATCCCCCCCGGAACGGTGCCCCGCTATGAGGAAAGATCGATCGGGTTCGGTCAGCAATATGGCGCGGAAATTATTCTCCGTTGAACAACCCTGGTGTCCACCCTGAGTCAGTTTCCGTGGCGACAGGTCTCGTCGCTGCGATTCATCGATTTCCTCGTAGAACGAATCGATGGACGTTCCCATAAGACCCCATCCTCTCAAAATTTTTTTAAAGAAAGCAAAGAACATATGGTAAAAAAATTTCCTTTTATAAAAAAAAACCTAACCCAGACGTCTCTGTTCCCGAAAAAAAAAGAAAAGAAATCTCCCGTTCCGGCGTTCCCATCGCTCAACCAGCGCCCCATCGTCCAGGGACTCGATTCGAATCGGGATTAGAAACCTAATTGTCTTCCGTCCTCCGTTTCGTTCGCTTTTTTCTTTATCAAGCTACCAGGGGATCCAGGTGATTCTTCCACGACCGAGCCCTCTTCGCTCGTGAGACTAACAACCGAGCATTACCCGTGGAGAAGATCGAGAAGGAAGGAAAGAGGGTGGAGGAAGGATGTCGCTAAGCGAGGCGAGCCATTAGTCGGCCGGATATTCGGCTCTCTTTGAGACCGACGACACTCGTTCGGTGCACGAAACGGTTCGCGACGCACAACGACACCTTGTTGTCCCGTGCTTCGTACCCAGAGCCCGCGGTTCAATTGACGGAAAATCGTCCGCGTCTCGCTTTGATGCTGAAATTAGAAACCAGCCGACAACCGATACGGCAAATTACCAAGGAACAGGAAAATTCTTGTGGCGGGCACAATGGCTGGGGCCTGAACAATGCTGCACCTGTAACCGAATCGCTCTTCTATCGGGTTACTCGCGCCAGACTATGAAAACAGATTTTTTTTTTTAAGAGAAGAAGAAGGTCAGGATAATGGACAGACGAATAAATTGTGGGCTTTAACTTTCGTCAGGATAAAATGGAGAAGAGTAACAGAGGCTTACGGAAAAGCTGAAATGAATAATTCTAACATATTCTACTGCTTTCGGTACGGTTTATTTATTCGGTTAAATTTTTTATCATTTATTGTATACAGGGTGTCACACGTAACACTTACCTGGATGTTTTAAGCACTTCTGGTGATCTGATAAAAAAGTGTTTTAAACAAAAGTTGATCAGTTTTCAATTGGTTATATGTTACAAACAAATTTCGGAAATTTTTTTGCATAAAAAGTGAAGTATTGTTGATCGTATCGAGACGAGTTCAACCACCTAGTACAATGTGACTTTGAAATGAATTTGAATTCAGAATTGAGGAATCAATGAACGGAAACGTATTCGTGGAAAATTATTCTGAGGTGGACACCCATCTTGCTACAAATAAATACACTTTCGTTCAAAAAATTTACTGAAATTTTTTTGTAACACGTAGCCGATTAAAAACTGATCAACTTTTATTTAAAACACTTTTTCGTCAAATCAACGAAAGTGCTTGAAAAATTGTCGTAACTATTATATGGGACACCCTGTATATTTTATGATATTGTTCATTGTGAAATAATAGAACAACCTCAGAGGCTTTTCTATCCAAGTGATGGGTGAGGAGTAATTTTTTCGGGAACTGAACCGTATTGGCCGGCTGATGGATGATTTTTCGACGCTCGACGGATGAAATATCGCACGATGCGTTCCATAAGAGATCTGTGTCCCCTCTCATTGGATGTCGTCTGTCATCGTCAGCGGACGTTCGAGCGATGTTAATGAGGAAAATAATCCGCTGTGGACGTGTTGACCGCACACAGTTTGGCCCTGTTTTTCATTATTTGACGAAATTTCCAACGAAAATTGTTTTTTTTTTGCAATCTCTGATAATCAATTTCACCAAAGCTTTGTCGGCAATGAAATACATAGCTGAAGCCAAACGCTTCAAAATGAATGAACTTCCTATTTTATTTTTCAAGGTAAAACAGTCTGATTTCTGCAATATATGATGCTTATTTTGTTTGGATACGAAGCACTGCTAAAAAATAATTAAATGTACAGGATGTCCAAAAAAAAAACATTTAATATTTATATGTTACATAGGACACACTGTACTGAGTAAAAAAGCCT